GCTGCAGGTTAAAGACAGGTGAGGGGGGGGGGAAGTCTGTAACGTTCTAAGGAAATTAAGTAGATGTCAGTAACTCTGAAATTACACAATTCCCCAAAACTCCCATCATGCTCTCCTTCTAATGACCCTCAGAAACCTTACTGGTCCCTTTGGAGGACACCTCTTGATGCTAAGCTAACGGTGCTGTATGTTGTCTCTCTTCAGACACAACGGGAACATCCTCCTGGACTCTGAAGGTCACATCATCCACATCGACTTCGGCTTCATCCTCTCCAGCTCACCTCGAAACCTCGGATTCGAAACGTCCGCCTTCAAACTCACTTCGGAGTTTGTGGACGTGAGTTTCATCTGTTTGCATTTTGCTGTTATACAGACTCTTCTGGCACTATTTCGATTTTATTTCTATTTAATTGCACATCTCAAAACATTGCACCTCTTAACTGTTATCAAATGAATGCAATGATATGTATGAAAACACATTCAGGTTGCTCTGCTAAAGTAATGCTTTAATTTATACATTATTATCAATTACAATATAGGCAGATTAGCAGATGTGACGGATGTGTAGATTCGGTGATGTTAACATTCAGCTCAGAGAATGAACACATGTTCAACTAATTTTCAGGATATGTATCTGCTGTTACCTTTAGATTCATGTTGCTCTGTTTGAGGAGGACTGTAGCTGCTGAGCACGTGATGAGAGAGAACTGGATCTCTGAGTTCCTGCTGAATTCCACGTCTTGATTTGTTGAAGTGACTGACATGTGTTTCAGGTGATGGGGGGTCTGGACGGAGACATGTTCATCTACTACAAGATGCTGATGCTGCAGGGTCTCATCGCGGCTCGCAAACACATGGAGAAGGTTCTGCAGATCGTGGAGATCATGCAGCAGGGTAACGAGTCCCAGTGCTCAATAAACATGTTTACAAAGATATCATAGTTTATCTTAATGAGACACGGAGAAGTCATAGGATAGCATGCGGGAAAAGTCCTGAAAAAATTCATACTATAGTATGTCGTAAAAAAAAGTGATGTGTCGTAAAAGTCCTAAAAAAAGTAATATTGTAAACAGTTGTATAAAAGTCCTCCACCTGACCCCTCACCTGTCTCCTCAGGCTCTCACCTGTTTCCTCAGGCTCTCACCTGTCTCCTCAGGCTCTTACCTGTCTCCTCACCTGTCTCCTCAGGCTCTCACCTGTCTCCTCAGGCTCTCACCTGTCTCTTCACCTGTCTCCTCAGGCTCTCACCTGGCGTGCTTCCACGGATCCAGCACCATCCGGGGTCTGAAGGAGCGTTTCCACATGTCTCTGACGGAGGAGCAGCTGCAGGTTCTGGTGGAGCAGCTGGTGGACGGGTCCATGAGGTCCATCACCACCAAGCTGTACGACTCCTTCCAGTACGTCACCAACGGCATCATGTGACCTCTGATCTGCGTGTGTGTGAGAGACTGTGTGTTCTGGTGGACGGGTCCATGAGGTCCATCACCACCAAGCTCTACGACTCCTTCCAGTACGTCACCAACGGCAGTCGCTGATCATCTCTGTTTCATCTCGTCCGTCTCAAGTCTTTATTGTAACGATGATCAGCTGATTTGTTGTGTTGCGTTCATGAGCAGCTGGGAGCGTCCGGGACTTTAAACCTACCTGGAAACATCAAGTTAAATTAAAAAAAAAAAAAAAAACTAAAAGACTTCTATTGGATTCCCCTCTGAAGCAGCACATGTTCCAGATGCATCATCGAAGAGTTTAAAACAAGAGTTATACTTAAACAAACTGTGCGGGGAACATTAGAGCTGGTGATCAGACTGAAACGCTCACTTCAGTTTCTTCTAATTTGTGACGTTTTCTGACACTTTAAAGACCAAATCATAAATTGTAATGAATCCTTAATAGCAAACTCTCTCTAAATAAAGAAGTGTGTTTGGGAGAGTTGTAAGAACCTGCGCAGAGAAGCTAACGTGTTCAGAGAGATTGAACGGTTTGAGATGTTTATTTTGTGTTTAGTTTGAATGTTTTCACCAGACATTTATCACAGCTGTTTCTGAACAAATAAACCAGCTCCAGCTGGAAGAACATTACAGTTCTTCACCGTTATTTTTATGCAAACTTTAAGAACATTGACTCATCTAGCGTAAAAGTCACATAGCGGTTCAAGCATGCCGTTCGCTAAGTGTTAGCACGTAACCTTGCTAATTGAGCATGCATGCTAACGTTGGTAAGCTAAAGTGCTCCGGTGTTTGGCTCCAATAGCGTGAATTTTATAAATATTTCTACAAACATGAACATCATTTAAACTTTAGGGTTATCCCACTGATATCTGTGGGAGACATTCCAGCCTAAAATAACTGATAACGGCTAACATGCTAACACTAGAACTCTGTTGTGGTTCTCTTTGTTAAACCAAATGCACACAATGATCTTGTGAATAGTTTGCTTCATTTAATGTGGAGATTTAATGGACCTTTCCATCTTTATTTTAGTAACATTCATAGACAGTGCTAACCGCTACCTTTCCTAATGTTATGACTCGAAAACGTGACGAGTGTCTGGTGAAAAATAGAGACGTGTGCATCATCAGTTTATCTCCAGGATCGTCTCTGGTTCATTTCTATTTCTTTCCTCGTGGTCCATGTTGAATTTCATGAGAAACTTCTGTGTACATTTGTTCCATTCAGGACTTGATAAAGGATGCTAACGCTAACACAACTCTACAGTGTTGAAATACAAAGTCAAGTCAAAGTCAAAGAACAGTCCCGCACATTTTAGAGCCAAAATGGCTTCTGAAACTATTCTTTTAACAGATTTATGCAAGAACATCTTCCTCTCCATTAACTGGATATCTGTGTATAACTCTTGAGTCAATGTGTTACTGTCTGTGAACGATATATTTGCATATTTAACGATGGCTGATTAGCTGATTAGAAACATTCCTCCGGCTGAAGCAGAGACTCTGTTTGACAGAACGTTTATTTTTTCTTTATGAGTAGACGCATTTCCTGAATATGTGAATGTTTTTTTATATAATAACAATCCACTAAACAAATGTTTTTTCTCAGACTAATGTGTTCTTAGTATTGCTGAGCAACTTTAAAACGTATATAATGAAGTTGTAACTAATGTTGGTGACACTATTAATGGCTTAATTCCAGTCTATCACACTTAAACATAAAAACTGGGTTTATTTTCTGTAAGAAATCAGATTTAAGTATGTATTTGCAAATGTAGACATCAGCTCAGTTAACATCAGTTTGTTTAAACACGAGCTAGAAATTAAAAGCTAGTTAGCGAGTCAATGCTCTTGTACCCAACGTTGTAGCTACAGTTGTATTTACAGTTTAGGGATGAGGAAAAACCTTGTTCGCCAGCTATTAATGAGTTAGCTAGCATTAACTAGCATGCTAAGAGCTCTCCTTCTTCTGCTAACACTAGTACATTGTGGAGAAAAAACTAAAAACAGGCTAGCAAACACTTTAGCTGACTTCCTGTTTTATTTCATACACGTGTTTTATGTTTTATTAATAATGCTAACGGAGGCAGACAGACACTGGGACGGCTTATGCTAGCTAACTAGCTTTGAACTAACTTGTACACGAGCAGTAACTATTGTACAGTTTACAGCAGCAGTGTTACAATATATAACTTTATTATCTACTGACTGTTTTCAGTACAACTAAACCTAATTTGAAATCACTATACCAGGACTGCTGCTTATTGTTAGCATGACAGCGTGACTCAGCTTAAATTGTTGCTAGCTTATAATATTTTTCACAATCAAATGTTATCTTTATAAATCTTTTTAAGCTTATGTTTTAGAATAGCTAGTGGTTGTAGCTAACAAGCTAGAGTCGACAGGCTAGCTAGGTTAACCATGTAGTGACAAACCTAGCAAGCTAGTTGGCTAACGAACAATTAACTGTTCAGTCTTTTTCTGTTAGCACTGTGGTGAAAATTAGCTAATTATAATTGTAAAGACACAAAGGCTGGAATAATGTCACTAGCTGGTGTTACCATCATTATTTTATGTACAGTTGTTTTTGTGTGTGTTGACCACTATTGAAGGAGAAGCACAGACATTTTATTGTGAAACCATGTTACCGTCTGCTAACCGTTAGCCCGCTACCCGTTAGCCGCTACTTTATACACCACCGCGCTTTAAAAAGACGCAGCTGTGACTAAAGTTTACCAGATAAGCAACTTGAATAGCAACTACCCTCTCTCGCTCTGTTCCTGTGTTAATATGTATGTATGTAAATGAACTGTTTAATGTAAAATGAGATGCCTTGAGACGTACAGGAGGTACAAAACTCTTATCAATGCAACCGGAGACGAAGTGCTTTTATATCTGACCGCTGCAGGGACGAGTTTCAACCTCTTCCTCTCATCTGGACTATTATTATTTATATCAACAGTAATTGAAGTTTCTCTCTGAAAGCTTGACTGATTTTTCTAAATTTCAGTATCTTATTTCTTTGTTTTCCACCTTGACTAAAGGCACATAAAGCCCAACATGCATTTAAATACTAGCTCCTTTAAAGGTTGAGCTTCTGTACCGGAGAGGAAACCAGTTAAAACTCGTCTCTGTTTCTAAAAACCCTTCATTGCCTTTTATCTTCCTTTCATCAGCTCGAAAACTCTTTAAAGTGCATTTATCCCGAATGAAAATGTTTTCTGTTATTTGTTTTTACCACTAAACCCATTAAAGCAGCATGGGGACTCCTCCAGCTCTCCTCTGATTTATATCCTGTGAATTAGCTTCATGTTGTATTGGGTTTAAGGAGAAAATACTAACGATGCTAACAAAGGAACACTATAGGCCCTTTCTCATTTCTCTAACTCCCCTCCTCGACTCCTATCCTCGATACTTAGTCCTGCCCACGGGAGATGAGAGCGGAGGAGCCGAGGAGGGGAACCGAGGAGACAGGAGGGGAAGCAGCAGGCGGTTAGAGAAATGAGAACTCCTCTCCTCTGAGCGGTCATTTTAAAGAGACGTCCATTAATGATGACAGGAGGCACAGCAGCCCTCTGTCTGATGGACAGATGTGTTCATGATGACTTATATATTTACTTTGATTCATTCACAGTGCGGTATAATGAGACAATAACAGGCTACAGATGCGGTCACAAACACACACACATATATATATATATTTATAGAAATATATACAACTTCAGAATCAATCAGAGCACTCGCATAATAACGTAACACTATCAGAGACTGGATCTATCCCCCCCCCCTCCCTCTCTGGTCGCTCCAATGAGGAAAATAAATTACGGGCCAAAAGTTTTATTTACAAGTATTAAAAGTAAGCAGAGGACACCAAACCAACTGAGACCTGTCTGTCCGCTGCATCTACGCACTGTACAACACGAACACGCACCTACAGCTCCTAAAGCATAATCAGGCTACAGCCGTTGTGTATTTTATTATGTGAAGCACTAAATTGTTTTAGAAAAATATCGACTCTTTGTTTGTAGATATCTACTAAACTAAAGCAAATAAAGACAGTGGGCCTGTTATACTGAGTGATATATATTTTACACACTGCTCTGCTTTCTGAACGGACCTCAGAGCTGTTCTCACTGTAAACATTGCGTCGCGATGAGAGCACTTAATAAAATAATATCCAGGGGATGCATGCAGAGCTG